TGTGAAAGCGAAACTACTTTGTTTGGTCTTCCAAGAGGACACGACTACAAATCAGTGGTTAAGTTGTATTTACCACACTGTTCCAGAACAGTTTAACCCAAATATCCAGATGTGTGCAGCGCATTTTATGGAGGACTGTTTACTGATCCTGGGAGAGTAACGTTAGACTAAAATGCCGGCAGTTCTGACTCACGTAAGTACGTTTTCATTTAAAGGATTTGCCACTGATGATTCAAACGCGAGTTTTGGGCAGTGTAGAGTAGCACTTGTTGTTTGTCATTTCTCTGATCACAAATGCAGACAGAGTTTTATGTTTACACGGCGCGATGCAATGCAACGCAACGCGTAAAAAGACGGTATAAGTCATTATAATCAGTAATTATGTCCCCACTGGACGCAACAAATGCCTCGTTTGTAATGGGTTTTAATGTTTTTGTCTCGTCGCTCCGGCCGGACACGGCATCAACAGTATGTGAGGGGCGTAACATTTCCGTCTCACGCTTGAGGTATTCGGCCAATCACAACGCACTGGATAGCTGGCCAATCACAGCACACCTCGCTTTTTCAGACCGATGAGCTTTGTAAAAATCGACGCGTTTCAAAAAGGCGGGGCATAGAGGAGAAACAATAATGTACAGTATGTGGAAAATAATGTATTTTTTAACTTTAAACCGCATAAACACATTTCATTACACCAAATACACAAAATAATGTTCTTTTTAGCAGCATCATATGACCCCTTTAAATAATAATAGTTTAATAATAATGGTTTAATTGTACAGTAAAACAAAATAGACTTATCCTGTTTTATAATAACTGCTCTCATAACTGACAATCAACAACAAATAATCATATTTCCAATTCCTAAACCAGCACGTGTCATTATAGTCTACAGTAGGAAACCTATCAAACAGTGTCATATACAGACTATGACAGATAAAATAATTTGTAAATGAATGTGGAGAGTCCCATTCCATCTAAAATCAACTCACCTATATGTCAAGGAAATCCAGTAGCCATCCACTCCTTTGCCGTCAAGTAAATTACTGAAACGTTTGTACTCCTTCAATATTTTGACTTCACCTGTTGTTCTTCTTCTTCTTCTAGCATTTATTGGCGGTGGGCAAGCCAACTTTTGGTGCATTACCGCCACCAACTGAACTGGAGTGTGGCGTGACAATGAGAAGGCTTTATAAAAATAAATAAATACATAAAAATAAATAAATAAAATTACATACAATTATTCCTTATATTCTCATGAAGATTCCCGTGTCTATTAGATAATTTATCATTCTTCTGAATTTTCTATTACCTAATATTAGTTCTAATGTCATATTATTTGCACCTTCTGATTGTATCTTTGTTTCTGGCATCTGTCTCTCTTTACTATATGCTCTACACTGTAATAAAATATGCTCAGCTGTTTCGACTTCACCTGTTACCACCAAGGACCTCTAAAATGTTTCCTCTAGCGCAGGGGTGCCCAAACTCGGTCCTGGAGGGCCGGTGTCCTGCAGAGTTTAGCTCCAACTTGCCTCAACACACCTGCTGGTAAGTTTCTAGTATGCCTATAAGAGCTTGATTAGCTGGTTCAGGTGTGTTTAATTGGGGTTGGAGC